CGCGCGAACTTAACCGCTCGGCCACGGGGCCAGCCCCAAAAGATGGTTATTCTTGATGTAGAAATTTGGTGGACAATTTGTTCTTTCAGCACTTTGAATTTCTCATTCCACTGATTTCTGACCTCCATTGTTTCATTGATGCTCACCTGTGTGTGATGAGTTAGTTTTCTCTTGCTGCTTTTAAGATTTTCTCTTTGTCTTTGTCCTTCAGTAGTTTGATTATGTTATGTCTAGATATCAGTCTCTTTATATTTGTCCTACTTGGGGTTCATTGAACTTCTTTGATGCATAGATTAATGTTTTTCATCAAATTTGGTATGTTTTTGTTCCTTATTTCTTCATATGTTTTTTTCTATCCCTTATCCCTCATTTTAAAAAATTCTTTTTTCTCTCTGTTCTTCAGATTGGGTAATTTATATTCATCTATCTTAAATTCACTGATTCTTTCCTCAGGTCATCTTAAATCTGTTGTCAAGTCCCTCTAGTGAATTTTCATTTATTGTACTTTTCAACTCCCAAATTTCCATTTGGTTCTTTCAAAAAACTTCTGTCTCCTTATTGAGAATTTCTATTTTTTATTCATTGTTGTCCTACTTTCCTTTTATTCTTTAAATATGGTCACCTTTGGTTCTTTAAATGTATTTATATCAGTTGCTTTGAAGTCTTTGTTTAAATCCAACATCTAGGGGCACTCAGACAGTTTCTATTGACTGCTTTTTCCTATGTCCTTGCATGTCTCGTAATTTCTTGTTGAAAACTGGATATTTTAGATCATATATTATAGCAACTCTGGATTCTGATTTTTTTCTCCCTGAAGGTGGTGGTGGTTGCTTTGTTTATTTGCTTGTTTCTTTTTTTAGTAATTTGCCTAAGCTAAATGAGTAACATCTGTCTCCCCTGTGATGGTGTAGCCACTGATGTATCTGTTTTTTGTTTTTTTTTAAGATTTTTGTTGTGAGTTTTACATTTGACTTCTTTCAACTTGCCCCATTGTGTAGCTTAAATGATAAGCCGATGATTGGACAGTGGTTGTGCTTAAACACTTCAAGTCAATAAGTTGTCGTCTGTTCATGGATCTCTGTATTAATAGAGGAATGTGTTTGATGAGGAATTTTTTACACTATTTTCAAGTGCGCCCTGCTTTTGCTTTCTGCTGGGCTCTTTCATACTTCCTCTCTATACGCGATCATTCAGCTTCAGGAATGTGTGGCTGGCTTTGTTACTCTCTGGTCTCCATTGCATATACTTTCAGTCTTAACCAAGAATACATTTGCCCCAGTTATGACTATGACCCTGGACTTATAGAGCCGTTGCCTCTCCTTGCTTGCCCACTTCTAAGATCATCTCTTCCACTGAAACACTGCCAGGCATGGGCATCACCTACCGCTCAGGCTCAAGTGAGCCCCCTTTGACCACAGCAGAGATGTTTCCAGTCCTAATGCTCTTCTCCACCCTAGGAGAACCTCTGTACTGACTGAGTTGTGGTTGATGGTGATAAGAGTAGCTCCAAGTCAGAATGCCACAGGGTCCTAGTGTTCTTACCTAAAGATTAGCAGTTTTTCAAATATAAATGCTTCTCAAATTGTTATATTCCTTTGGTCAATTTCTAGAGCACTGGTGTGGTTGTATTTGTCAGTTTTGTCTAGCTGTATTGTTTCTTTTTTAAGAATATTTGCTGATTGCATTCAGCCATAGCTAGAAATTTTGCTTCTGGTCGTGTATTACGTATACATTTATTTCTTTACTCACTTAGAATGATGGAAAATTTACATGTTCTATTAATTGATTTATCTCTGTTTTCTTTGGGGTAAATTGTTGTTTTACACTGGTCTCAAATGTGAAAAAGATGATGTTCTTCATATGCCCAGTGGGTCTTGGCTGTGCATTCGTGTTGGAAAAGAGAAAATCAAAAAGCTGCCTGCAAACCGTATTTGGATAGCACTGATTGACTGGTACAGTTTGCTTTAGAGTAAATAGCTGGGGAACCATGAGTATGCAGGAAGTCAGCTAAAGACCAGAATGAGGCCAACTTTTCTTTGGGGCACCCATACTCATGCTACCTTTCTTAGTTCTCTAGACAGTTAATTTCTTTAAACACAATGCTTCTCCCATTTCGTATTTTTTTTTTCTTACTCGCAGTCAGATATTTAACTACAGACAAGAGAAACACAAAGCAGTTGCTTGCATAAAAAGGTAGGGGAGGGAGATTTAGTGTTTCTTGGACAGACCTTCAGTTGATTGCATATTTTAGCTTCACTTCTTACTCCACAGTTCTGCCAGAGATATCAGGTCATTTCTTTAACTGCAGCATTCTTTGCACGCATTCTAGAGTTTGGCTTCTCCCACTCTGTTTCTTCCATGAATGCTCTTTCATCTGTCTTACCTTGTACAGATTTGTAGCCATGCTTTCTCAGTCTCTTCATTGTTATGAGTTCGATGAATAAATGAAAAGCCACAGGATTTATTGGAGTATATGAAGAAGCCATTTGGCTTAAAACTAATTTGGCCTGATCTTGTTTTTCCGGAAGGGCCTGACATGGCCTGTTGAGCATGCATTGCCCATCTGCTTTAAACGTTTACAGTGTTCCAAAGCCAAGAATGATGCTCTTAAAGATAGCAATGTTGCCTTTCCCAGCATTTCTTTAAGGATAAGCATTTCTTCCCAGAAACTAAGGATTAATTACTGACCTGCTTTAACTCATCTCGTGACCACTAACCTGCTGACCACCAACTTGTTGTGCTCACCTTGTGACCACTGATCTGCTATGCTAGCTGAGCATCTCTTGGCAGTAGTAAAAGAGATATTCCTGTCACATGTGATATATGCTCTTTGTTCCAAGGTGGTATATAATGACTCTGTATACCCCACTTCTTTGGAGAGCTTCATTCCTTTTTGGAAAAGTTCTCCTGGGCTAGTCCTCCAATTGGCTCATAATAAACTCACCACAATTTTTATGTTTAGATTGATTATTGATTATTTGCATTGACAGGTTTGCATCCTCTCCCTATCTTCAGCACACATCTTTATTATCTTTTTAACGAGATCTCTGGAGGGAGAGGGGGAAAATATACACTGATTGATCTTCCTAACCAAAAATTTAGTGCACGTATTTTTAAATGGTTGCAATGTAATATGTATATGCTCTTTTGGGTCTTGTTTTCACCTCTCCATTTAAGCATTTTCTACATTGCTATATTTCTTCGTAAATATGATTTGTAATGGATTATGAACACATTTTTAAAGAGACAGTTTGTTGTGTTTTTATCATTGTTATAATGGTTATTATTATTTTAGTTACTGCCACCTTCTCTTCCTGTACCCATTCCTCCATCCCACCATCATGCACATTTACCTTTCTTCAGGTAACCAATGTTAATAACGTTGACAGTTTCTGAAACAGTTAAGTCTCAGTTTTTTTCTTTTGGTCAAACAGATTGGCTGAAAGCTATCAAGAAGGGCAGTTCGCCCCAGAGCAGGCTGACATTGTCATCAAGAAAGCAATTTCAGTTATTTATGGGTTTTCCAAGAAATCTTGTGATTTCAGCTATGGAGTATAGGTGATGTGTTGTATCTCTGTAATGGCTTCCTAGCGCTGGCATCTCCGTCTTAGTTCTTAGATGGAACTGAACCATTTCCCCTATTGTAATTCCTCTGTTTCCCCTTTTGTTCAGATTCAGTTCCCAGAGTAGCCAAGTTATCCATGAGAATTTTTGTCTGTTTCTTACTGGAAGTCAACTTGGGGTAATGGATGTTAGTAAAATTGAACTGCTTGTATATCAGACACCAAAGAAAGGCAAGAAGTATGAAGATAATCAATAAATATCAAAAGAAACATTTGTATCCTTCTTCATATCAGCTTTTTAGTCAACGTAGGCCTAATCAATAGGTCAGTTTGGCTGATTATGGATAACAAAATAGTCTTTTCTATTAAATGATACATTTATTGTTTAACTTTTTTTCCTTTTCTTTTAGTAAGACAAGATAAAGAAAGTTTGAGAATATAGATTTTTGGAATTAAGAAGTAAAGCTCATTGTTTGTACATGATACAAAGCTACAGAAAAAAATAATAAGACTTTAGCAAATATCCTAGATAAAAAATCAATATACAAAAATTATACAAATATGTACATATATAAACAAAAAATGAAAAAGTTTTTGCAGAGAGATATTATTTACACTAACATTCAAAATATGAAGTGCCTAGGAATACATCTAACAAGATGTGCAGAACTCCCGTGGGGAAAATAGTAAAGCATTATTGTGTGACAATAAGACCTCAATAAGGGGAATGATATACAATTCATGTGGCTTGGAAAACTCTACATTTTACAGATGCCCAATTTGATCAATGCAATTTCAATCAAATTCCTGTTTGTTTTGGTGAGGAGGGGAGAATACTTGACAGACGATTCTAAAATGATATGGAAAGAGCAGGGCCAACAGCCAAGAATAACAACAGTGTACTTTGGTGCAGGGAAAGACAATAGACTAGTGGAAGCTTGCTAGTGAAAGTGTAGTCCATTACCTGGGAGCTTGTTAGAAATACAGACTCTCAGGCCCCAGCCCCAGATCAACTGAATCAGAATCTATTTTAACAAGATAACCTGGAAGAGTGGGAAAAGATGGTTTAATAAAATATTCTGGGACAACGGGTAACCAAACAGGAAAAAAGGAATTGTCTTGAAACCTTACTCTCTATGATCTACATTTCTTTAGGGACATTTGAAAAATCAATGAAAATAAGAAGAATGTTTTGAATATGCATTTTCCCAGGTGCCTCTGCTATTCCTGTGCCTGTAATTTATGGATCATCTTGTTAATAAGCTTTTCTTAGGGACCCAACTTCAGCATGTATTTATGTATTTCCAGCATCTCTTGGTGAAAGCCTGTATGTCATAACTTAATGGTAGTACTGTCACTACCAGTGTAGACATCTAAGGTTGTGACTATGCTGCCTCCATTGTGGCAGTGATAAAATTTGATCTAATTATTTTATAGGTGCATTTTGTGTATTTCGGAAATAACTCTGCTGAAGATACTAAAAAAAGGGCAGCTTTACTGACAACTCAGAAGGAAACAATTTTCTACCTACTTAGGATTAGAAGACCAGCTAATTCTTAGAGTCTTCTGAAACAAAATTAGGTAAGAAATGTTTCTCTTCATATTTTGAATAATTTGTACTCTGCCTACTCAGTTTCCTTGAAGACTTCTATAATTGTATTCCTTGGGCCTCTAAGAGAAATACAGTTAGCACTTTCCTTTCGGAAGTTAGTGTGCCAGCCAGCTGTCAGCCTTATGATGTACCTATCTCCAATGTCAGGGGAAACACAATTCAATTTTAAACTAAGTCTTCTGCACAACAGTGCAGCAGGGCTGCCAGCATCTCTCTTTATGTTCCTTTCTTTGAAATTCTCCCTTCTACCAAAATAGTATGGTTTTATTTTTAAATCCTTTGTGTGGGATGCAACCACCACTAACTTTACTTGTCTGTAGTTAAAAATCAATGAACTGAATGAAATAATCCATAAGTATTTCTGCTACCCTTTCTCAATTCTAGAAAATAAAGTACCACCTCTTGTTTAACTTATGACTTGTCTAAACATGTTGAAAGCATTGACTATAAGGCATAACATTCAGACTCTGAAAGGAAACTGTGACAAGTTCAGTCAAAAGGGAAAAGAAGAATAATTTATAAAAGGCGCTGCAGATAATGATGGCAGCCAGTTATTTTAAAATGCATCCATCTCACCTTTTAATGAATTAGATTTGTCAACAGCAAATGTTTTATGCACTACTTCTAATAAAAGTGGCACGCTAGGAATACAGTGCTTTGAGGTTGGCTTCTTCAAAGCTTTAGGAGTATCTTCAATTCAAAGATATTTTTTAAATAATAGATATTAAAAAAGTATATTTAAATAATATTGAGGTTGTGACACAAACACCAAATGACAAAATTCAGGAGTTTCAAAGCAGAGGCTGACATGCCATCACTATTTCACATAGTAACTGGTTTTTAAATTAGGAGTGTAGCAGACTGATTTGGGGATTCTGTGTCAGTTTAACTTTAAATTCTCTTATTGTTTTGGTTGGTGTCACAACCTTAATGTCAGCTTTTCAAATAGGTTTCTACATTTCCTTTGGTTTGGGGTCATTAAAAAATGCATATGATAAATCTAAGAGGCATAAATAGGTCACACTGAAGGGGAATTCCTTGCTTCTCTGCTGTTGAGAGACAGCTAATACCTGCCTTGTAAGTGGAAGAAGTTAGCTGAGACAGTTCAGTAAATTTGTTTTTCAGGAATTTGATTCTGACCGGTATGAACCCAAATAGCAAGATATGATGTTGATATAATCCTGTTCACACTCTATTCTTCTTGTATTTCTAATCCTAAGTATTTGATCTTGTTGATTATCACCTCTATAGATATTAAGAATCACAATTCCCACAATTGATATTTTTTTCACCAAAAGTACAAGTTAAACCTGATAATTATTTTATTTGAGGAATCCTTATTCGATATAGTTGAGAATGGGTAAACCCTGCCTTAAAAACTTCCATATGGCACTCGTTTAAGCACTTTTATGCAGGTTTGTTTTAGGGTAAAATCTTGTTTTTTAAAGTAATACTTGATATAGAAAGTAACATGTAAAGTAAAATCTGATATGTTGTGTTGTGTGTTAAAAAAAACTTCTAGTACCACACTGGACGTTAAAGCAGCAGCCAGGAGCATTCTGCAGGGAAAGAGAGAAATAGAAGAGAGGAGGGAGCGAATAATCTACTCCCCCAAATTCCTCCTCTTTCATTGATTATTATCCGTCATGATCTTACACGGCAGGTCTGCACTGCCTATGCTGGATCTAGTTTTAATTTAGAAAAATAAATATGTTAGAATCTGTCTCATAGTTGTCATTTTCATCACCTGTGTTAGAGAAATAAAAGATGAAAAGAGAAGCAAATTATTTATTGATCTTTTCTTGCTGACTCATAAAGATATTGACCAACCCAAAACACTTTATAGCTCTCATCTGCTCCTTAACTGAACTCGTAGGTTTTACCCTTCCTGGTTTTTATCAATGACTGGGCGAATATTAATCTTTCTTTTCTGTTGTACTCCATTCCATTCCTTCTATCTCTTTATTTTTTAAGCGGTGTTGAATTTGAGAAATTTCTGATAGTTTTCATTTGGGACCATGCCATGAAATTTTATCTTCATTTCTGGGCCTAACTTGACCTTTCCTGCCCTCTGCACCCTCCCATATCACATCATTATTAAGCATCACAGTTCTGACAAATAATGTTTTTTTCTAAGCCCTAGTCCTCAGTAGCAAGAGCTAATTATGCTGCATTGTGTAGTGGTTTGAAAATGTGTACAGTTGTCTGTGAAGGTTTTGGCTAAATCTTCCAACCTCATTTAAACTATATTAGTGCCTTTGAACAACTTTTTTAAATCAGTATTATTGTTCATACTAATACTAATTCTGATTTCTATCTGATAAAAATGAAATTTTTTAAACAAAAATGGCTGTTTCTAAATTCAGAGGAAGCTATTCAAATAAATGAATTGGAATTCAGTCTATACCTGCAATATAAAAACGTTTTCTGGCGGAGAAACAAAATATTCTCTTTAAATATTATAGGCTAAGCCAACTTCATGCAAATTCATTTAGAGCAGTTTTAGATTTATGTATTTAATAAAGCTGGCTAGTGGATCTAACTTATATATTTAATACCCTTCACTATACAGTGATGTTCTAGTGACTGCCTGGAAAAGAAGGAGGAAATTTTATTTAGTGTTCCTGCTACATCAGTCAATTCTATAAATGGCTTTCTAATGGGATACACTGTATGCTTTTAATAGTTTCTGTATATTAAGTGATAATATTTGTTGAGTGCTTTTTATATGCCAGTGATTGTTCTAAGTACTTTCCATGGATGATCTCATATAATCCTCATAGCAACCCTTGAATGATCTCACTATTTTACAGATGGGATAGAGGCACACAGGAGAAGGTTACAGAACTAGTAAGGAGCAGAGCTGGGATTCAAACATAAGCAGTGTAATTCCAGAGCTCACACTCTAAGCCCCTGCTTCTCAAAATGTGGTCCTCAGGCCAGCAGTATCACTATGACCTGGGAATTGTTAGAAATACAGAATCTCAGGCCCCACCCCAGACCTCCTGAAAATCTGCATTTTTTCATGAGATTCTTAGGTTTATTGGTACAGTAAAATTTGAGAAGCACAGCTCTAAACCACTATGCTATCTGCCCTTATATACTGAATTAAGTATTTTTAAAAAGTAGATTTCTATTTTTACGTATAATGTGATACTGAATTCCCATCTTTATGCTATTTTATGCTATTTTTGGGTATTCCTGTCATGTATAAAGTGCATTATAATGAGATCTAGTAACTAAACATGAGCAGGGATCCAAGGTAGACCCAGGTTGTCTTGAAATCAGTTGTATATAGAAAAGAAGGAAAAAAAATATCCCAGAGTATAAACAGAAAGACTTTCTCTCTATGGTGGCAGCTAACTATTTCCGCATCTGAGACTTTCTTACAGTCACAGTGTAGCACACTGCCTTTGAGTACAGACTCTGGAGACAGGCTACCCGGTGTGAATCTCAGCTCCTATTTCTAGCTGTGGGACCTCAGGAAAGTTAAACAGCTCTCTGCACCTCAGCTACATCATCCAGGAAATGAGGTCTAAAATGGTACTTACTTTCACAGAATTGTTGTGAAGATGCAATGAGTTAATCCATGTAAAGGATTTAGAACCAGGCCTGATATGAGGTAAGTGAATAAATGTTAGCTATTGTAGTTTTTGTTCTTGTTGTTAGATATGATTCTCATCTTAGAATGGAATCGATTCACATCTTATATTTCTTGGTTATCAATTGGTAGTAAATTGACAAATATTTTTGTTAGCAGAGCTTACTCCATAAAGGGATATCTTTGCTGTTAGAGTCTGAATCACAAACTTCAGTTTTTGTGTTTTTTGAAAACCATCTCCCTGTGGCAATTCCTGCCTGAATTATGCTAAATGCCACTTGATTGTGGTACCTAACCAGTTAAGTTCAGTGAAATCAGTTCAAAATCAAAATGAAATGTGTTAACAGTCTATTGAATTTTTGAATATATGTACTTTTAAATCGAATAAAGATAATGAGAATTGTAAGCCCATTTGACCAACCACTTGCATAAGTAATGTATGGAAAAATTAGATGGATGAAGAATGTTTGTTTAAAGGCAGAATGCTCCGGAAGCTTATTTCCTTCTGGGTGAACATAATTCTGAAATTAATCATGGTAGTTTTAAGGGGAATAACGGTTTGGTGTACAAGTACTCATGTGCAAGTACTCACTTAACAACTTTTCAAGAATACATCCAATGTTGGAAGTGAGATTGCATGTTCCTGGAAAGTACCAATTTGAAAGCTGATTTGTGAAAGGCACTGGGATAAAAATACTTGGTGAAAAGAATGCCCTGGGAAACGTAAAAATTGTCAGTTCCAGGACCCACATCCAGAGAGTTCAGTTCACTAGGCCTGGGATGAAGCCCAGGTATTTGAATTTTTAACAGATGGCTGGGGTAATTCTGCTTAAATTGGTTTTGGACTACACTTTGAGAAATACTGCAGTAGAGGCAAAGACATACGTTGATAAAAAGCTTTTGTTGACTACCCATTCCTTGTCCTCTTTGATACCGTTTTTTCCCATCCTCTGATCCCATTTTCTTTGTCCTCTTTGGCCTTTCTCCTATATACTGTCTGTGGTCTCCATGCCAATCCATAATTTTTTGCTTTTCTTTTTTTCACCCTTTCTCAAAGAACATCTCTTCTGGATTTATCAGTCGTATCTTTGCAGATGGTTCTACAAAATTATCACAAATATCTCTTTAATCAAAAACCTCTAAGCCAAAATACAGGTGCTGAAATCAATTTACAGGCTATGGCCAGCATTAAGAAAGAAAAGAAGAAGAAAGGAAAAGGAATAGGATAGAGTAGAATAGAAAATATCAAAGCAAGTATTAGGGGTAAGTAATATTTCATGAAGCTTTTGTTTAAGACATGTGTGTGTACACATACACATAGATTGAAATGCATTTTTTTGACCTGTGGATCATACTCCAAATCATTTTTTTTTTTTTTTTGAGGCAGGTCAGTTCTGAGCTAACATCTGCTGCCTATCCTCTTTTTGCTGAGGAAGACTGGCCCTGAGCTAACATCCGTGCCCATCTTCCTCTACTTTATATGTGGGATGCCTGCCACAGCATGGCTTGCCAAACAGTGCCATGTCTTTCTGCACCCGGGATCCGAACTGGTGAACCCCGGGCCACTGAAGCAGAACGTGCGCACTTAACTGCTGTGCCACTGGGCCGTCCCGAAAAAATTTGAAAGATACTGTGAGGCTTAGTCTCCAGAACTTGAGTGTGACATTAAGAGCACTATGCTTTCTTATGTATTCCCCTCAGATATCTCCTCCATCTCTGTTCTGAACATTTCCATTTGTATAATCAACTCAAAATCATCATGTGTAAAACTGAATTTACCATGCTTTCTTATCACATTTTCCCTCTAAATTTTTAAAATCTATTTTTAAACTACCATTCTGTCATCCAGTTTAAAATTTCAGAATTTCCTTTGTAATAATTTAGCGCTTACTACATAAACTTCGCTACAACCTCAACTCACTACCCTGGCCTATCCTTGAGCCCTAACCAGCAGAAAATCTTGTAGGCAACTATAGGAGTTACCCACTCCTTAGCCAGCTTCGTGAAGGCTAGCATGGACAATGCACCGCATGGTATCTATGACTGCCTTCAGCAAGACCAAATAACCTTTGACAACAAGCATGCCCTGTTCTGTGTGATACCCACCTCTTTATCGTACTGTATGACTGCCATTACTGTCATAATTGGGCTTTTCTTGCACTGATTTTTATTGCCCAAGAAGACCCACACCGTGGCTTTTACCCTTTGCTAGTTTCTAATGACATATCCACAAGTTTTCATTCTCTTAACATGACTTTATAATTTTCACATTGTCCTGTTTGGTTTCTCTGAAGTCTTGGGTCTAAAGTCGAAGCTTGTTGATGCCTGGGACGTGTAACATCTGCCTACTTTTCTCTCAGCTGTAATTGTCTACCTCACTCCGCAGCCCCAAGCTAGCTGTTCATACCCTGGAAATTCATTTCAAAAGCTGCCTTTCCTTTTCTCATGGCCACATCATCTTCCTTTTTATCATCAGCCTCATCTGGATTAATTCACTATCCTTCTAATTGATCTTTCTGCTTCCTGCTTCACCACACCAAACCATCTTAACACCCCATTTGATCAATATTTGTAAAACACTAGTCGTGTACTGCCTTAGTAAAACATTCCAAGACTTCCTGTTTTGTACAGGATAAAGTCCAAATATTTTCTTCCCGGAGGAAAAAAGATCTTAGCATACCTGTCCAGCCATAGCATACCTCTTCAATTTATCTTACTATTTTTATCCATGAATTTTCTGCTCTGGTTCCCCAGAACTGTCCCATTTTTGCTCCAGGGATGGTCTCATCATTTTAATTACCAGAGTCCCCTGTTAGTGGTGCTTCATGAATCTGGAGCAGGTGGCTGTGGCTGGGATTTAGAAGTGGTATCCCAGTACATACAAAGAAACCTCAAGTTGAGGACCTAATTACGCTTTGGCAATAAGAAGTTAGTAAGAGCTTAGGTTGTGGAGGAGGAGGGAAATAAGCAAGAGACAAACTCATTATTTACTTCTTAAGTTGCTGTCTGGCTGAGGCTTCTTATATTCTCCCTTCAGTAATTATTGGGTCATTCCCAGAATTGGAGAGCACTTGAACCTATATATAATGAGAGATTAAATGCCTCCAAGTGTGAGTCCTGCGAGGCTATAGATTTTGGAAGATCGCTGAGTTCCCACTTTTAGAAATGCCTTTATCTTCCTTTTTCTTAGTAGCCTGGCTTCGCTATCTCCGTCTTCCCGTAGGGAACTTCCCATTGTGGGACTTCTAGATCATTTGTTACTTGTACCACTCAGTTGATACTAAATTAGCTAATGTTTTCTCATATTTTTTGTATTTTTTTGTTTATTTCTTTTTGCTTCTCATGTGTCAAAAGTAAGACATACTCATTATAATAACTTCAAAAAAAATAGAAAATTATAAAGAGTAAAAATTCTCTTTTCCTCTGTCCCTTTTTAGTTCCACCACCTACAGATTAGCACTGTTAATAGTTTGTTGACTATCCTTCCTGATTCTTTGGGATGGTTTGTTTGTTTTTTTGAAAGTATTATACTGTGTCACGCTGTATATGTAGTTCTATAACTTAACTTTTTCAAATGAAATAATACAGCATTCTGGAAATCTTTCCATGTCATGCCATACAGAGCTAGAGTCTCATTTTTTTTATAGGTACATAAGTTCCATTTTGTATATGTGATAGTGTTACTTAAATTACATATACTGACATCACATTGTATACTTGCTTTGCCCAAGATAGTTCCATTTTATGCCTTTTATCTCAGTATTTCATCTGGTTTAGCTTTTGTCTCAGATTTTTCATTTTCGAATGAAGTATTGTTTAATAGTTGCATGTAAAGAAACCAGGATAGGTTTAGGTAGACCTACATTTTGTACTTCTGCCTTCTGACATGATCTCATGTGAGATGCCAGTGCAGTGAACAGAATTCTCACTTTAACGTATGGTTAAATTGGCGATAACCACTTCTCTTTTCAGATCTTTTACAGAAGTAATGTGAACCAACACATCTTTTCTCAGGACAGCATGAAGGGTGCTTGCTGTTAAAGTGAATGCACTCTGGCATGAGCAGTTAGGTATAGCTAACTTCTTCAGATCTTGGGTGATGGTGGCAGAAGTATTTGATGCTGCCACCCTTGCCGGACACTTGCTGTGTCAGCCAATTGTGTTGGGCACATGCCCTGGCCTGTGGATTGCATAATGTTTCCCATCCTTTATTTATTCTTGCCATAGAGTGAATACAGTCTGAACTCTTTGCTCAAGGCTTTTATCATGTATCATATGGTGTAAACCTACAACTACTTATTTATTTTATTGTTGGGTAACACATTTCTTTTTTATAATAACCTTTTTGGTGACAGCAATTTAAAAAAAGCAGGAGTGCACATTTAACAATTAGTTCTGAATTTCCTTTGACTTGCTGAAAAGAATTAATGTGTAACTCATACTATGGGAGATGTGATGACATCATTGACTAAATGATAACAAGAAGATACGAATTTTCTAAAGAAGTATCAACATCTGTTGCATACAGTTATTTTAAGACTGTGCCTGAAAATACTACATTTTAATACTTAACTGCAGAAGGTGCATTTGTGTACCACTGTGAAATATGACTTTTCCTTTAGACAAGTCACTGTTCTAAATTTTTTTCCTCATTTTCAGTTTCAAGTCTTCTTGTGCATGTATGAAAGGTGAAACAATAGTTATTAATGTATTGTCTCCATTAAAAGAACTTTACCAACAATTATAAGGTGCCAGTTTTACAACAGTATAGTTGGATATTTCTAACAAAAAAATCAGTTAATTCCAATAATGATTCAAGTTTCTCCTCTAATTTATGGAATCAAAGTAAAACATGTAGAAGTTCATTCTGTCAAAGGTGAAACACTTGACATTATCGTGAATACTACTGTAAATTTAATTACAAAATGCAACATAAAAGATAAAACTATTTGGTCTTGGTGATATTAAAAATATGTTCTGGTGGAACATACCATCATAAAAATTTTTAAATAAATTTAGAA